CAAAGTTCAAGGGATCCTTCTGCCTCAGCCTTCCAAGTAGCTGGAACTACAGGTGCCACCACCTTGCCTGGATAATTTTTTTGATTTATTCATTTATTATTATTTTTTACATTTTTTTTTAGTTGGAGTCTCACTCTGTCACCCAGTCTGGAGTGCAGTGGCTGCTCCCGGCCACCGCAGCCTCGACCTGCCGGGGTCTGGTGATCCTTCCGCCTCAGCCTTCCAAGTAGCTGGAACTACAGGCATGCGGTACCACATCCAGCTGATTTTGATTTATTGTAGAGATGAGGTCTCACCAAGTTGCCCAGGCGGGTCTCGAACCTGCGGGCTTAGGCAAGCCACTCACCTTGGCCTCCCAAAGTGCTGGGATTACAGGCTGAGCCACCGAGCCCAGCCGGACTGTCTATTTTTAACAGAAAACCTTAGCTTTCCTGGAAAATGTACAATAGATTTTCTCTTATTTTGCATTGACAGAATGTTAAACCCTTAGTATGATGTTATAGTTTTATTTTTTTCTTATTAATGTTGCTTGAAACTCATTCCTTTATAAATAAGCTTCTCTGGGTTTTTTGTTTGCCCTCTTTGTAATTTTTTAATTTTATGAATTTTGAATTTATTGCTGCAGTTCTGAACTTTCTCAAGGATCTACCTTTTCTTCATTCTGATCAGTACTCAATCTTTTCTGTCTGAGAACTGTTTCCTTTCTTCAGTTTCTGGACAGTTTTTTTTCTCTCAATTAATGTCCCATCCTTCTAGAGCGAATATTAGAAGCTTTGCTTGAATTGAATTTAAATATTTCCTAAATTTTCTCTCATGTTAGTCTGTTTGCTTTGTCCTCTAGATTTCTTCAACATTATGTTCCAGATTAGAAATTTATTCTTGGGCATTGTTGTATTTTTACTTAGCTTGTCTTACTACTCTTTTTGTAAATTCCAGCAAACATTTTTATTTCTGGCAGTACCTTTTTCCTCTCTAATATACAAATTATTATAGCAGTATATCCTTGATTAAAGGCAGCAACATCCACTGAAGTCTCTCAGAAAATAATTAAATTATTTTGCTGGGCACAGTGGTTCGTGCCTGTCATCCCAGCACTTTGGGAGGCAGAGGCAAGAGGATTGCCTGAGCCCAGGGGTTCGAGACAAGCCTGGGCAACTTGGTGAGACCTCATCTCTACAATAAAAAAAAAATTAGCCAACTACAGGGTTGCACACCTGTAGTTCCAGCTGCTTGGGAGGCTGATGCAGAAGGATATCTGAGCCCAGCTGGTCGAGGCTGCAGTGGCCGTGAGCATGCCACTTCACTCCAGGTTGGACGACAATGAGATTCCAACTTAAAAAAAAATTAAATTATTTTTAAGGAATCAAATCATTTTATGTGTTTTCTTTATAACTTAGAAACTATACATGTTTATATTTTAGGTGTATAATTCAATTAGGTAATTTTTTGTTTGTTTTTGTTTTGTCTAGTTTAAGAGATGGGGTCTTGCTCTGTTGTCCAGGCTAGAGTGCAGTTTCACAATTGTAGCTCACTGCATGGAGCGTTGAACTCCTGGGCTCAAGTGATCCTCCTGCCTCAGCCTTACAAGTAGCTAGGACTAGGACTACAGACGCTTGCCACCACACCTAGGTTCAATTAGTTCTAACAAATGTTATCACCCATGTAACCACAGTTAATCAAAATATAGAACATTTCCATCACCCAACAATTTCTCTCAGGCCCTTTTTTAGTCAGTGACCCCACCCCAACCCCACAAAGGCAAACCCAGATGTGATTTCTAACATTTTAGTTTATTTTCCCCTTTCATATGTCTAATTATAAATACAATATGTTTTCTGTATGGCTTGCTTCATTCAGAATGATTTTGTATTGCGTGTGTTAGAAGTTTGGTCCTTTTATTACTAATACTATTCCATTGTGTAAATAAATATACCATTATTGATATTCATCTGATGATGGACATTTGGATTGTTTCCAGTTTGGGGCTTTATGAATGTACTGCTATGAACATTTATGTAGTATATATGTAGTGTAAATCAACTCCCGGTCTAGGGACCACTCCCTGTCTATGGCCTGTTAGGAACCTGGGCCACTCAACTGCAGGTGAGCAAGGGTGAACAGAATTCCATCTTCTGTCAGATCTGCATGGCATTAGATTCTCATAGGAGCACACACTCGATTGTGAACTGCACATTTGAGGGAGCTAGGTTGAGCCTCTATATGAGAATCTAATGCCTAATGATTCCCTAACTCCACCCCAGTCTGTGGAAAAACTATCTTCCGTGAAACCAGTCCCTGATGCTAAAAAGACTGGGGACCACTGCTATAAAGAATATATATTCTCATTTCCCTTAAGATAAAGATGCCACATAATTCAAATCGTTGGCAAATACAGCCACACCCCCTATAACTCATAGCTCTCAAACTCAGAGTAATTTAATAGATAAATCCAAAATAACTAAATTCTCTCTTTAAAAAAATCTACAGGCAGAAACAACAACAAAAAATAGTTTGTTATTGCATAACCTAATGGAGGATGTTGTCAACTAAAGCTTGGTGTTTGTGGGTGAGCTCGCACAGAAAGTAACAGACTATCATGTAAATATTTTTTCAGTATTTTCAGTATCAACATAGATATAAATATTTAGTTTTTTTTCCAGTTATTTTCCAAATGTAAGCGCCTCGTGTGGAGCACACATTAGCATTTGGAACATGTAGCGATAAGTGATGCAAGCAGTGAAGTGTCTGCCCTGAATGTGAGTACCACCTGGTCAGGGGACTGCACACCTCCCGCTGGGCGGCTGCTAGTGTCTTCTGGTTTGGGGCTGTGCTTCCAGTGGAGGCAGAGCTTCTGACCAAGACTGTGAACCCCAGGTGTCTTTCTTTCGTCTGGCTCTCCAGTCCCTTCCCAGCCCCCCGCCTGTCAGAATCAGCAGGAGGGCGATAGGATCCACCCAAAGACTCCACCCAAGGCAACAGTGTGAAAGTTGTTCTATGAGGCAGAAGCTGTCAGCATTTGAGGTTGAACTGCAGCTGTCTGGGCCCTAAAGTTTTCTGCAGAGGCATAAAGCTGGACTTTATTGGTTTATCAATTGATTTGCATAGGAAATTGTATGGTTCCTCTGCAGTTGAGTAGATCTGTTTTCCTGAAAGACCAAAAGTGTTGATTGTGTGTTCCTGTGAGTAGAGTATGCTTAACCTTAAGGTGGGTAAAGGGGGTAAGTTAATTAGTACATACTCTCCCCAATTGCAAAACCAATGAGGAAGATGAAAAACTCTAATTTATTACTTCTAGGCAAAGTGGGTCTCATTTTTTGTTCTTCCCCTCATCCCCATGTCTTTTGTCGTGGCCTCCAGAGTTCCTTCTCCTTTAAACTCCTGTGCTCACACTAGAAACCCATCCACCCCCAAGGAGTTTTATTTAGATTGTACTTTTTGTCCGGCGTGGTGGCTCATGCCTGTAATCCCAGCATTTGAGGAGGCAGAGGTGAGAGAATTGCCTAAGCCCAGGAGTCTGAGACCAGCCTGGGCAATTTGGCAAGACCTGGTCTCAACAATAAATCAAAAAATTAGTCAGGCATGATGGCACATACCTGTGGTTCCAGCTACCTGGAAGGCTGAGATGGAAGAATCACCTGAGCTCAACAGGTCAAGACTGTGGTGGCCGTGAGTGTGCCACTGCACTCCAACCTGGGCACAGAGTGAGACTCTAACTCTAAATAAATAAATTAGATTGCATCGTGTGTGTGTGTGTGTGTGTTTGCATGTATGTGTGTTTCCTGGGTTATATTTAGAGATTGTCTACATATTTAAAGGAGGAGAGATCTAATTGGCTCCTGTTTTGGTAAACATTTCTTAATTATTTGTGTCCCTTTCTTAATCTTTACTCATTCTTTCTTATTTGTTTGGTCTGTGCTTCTCTTCCTAGACATTTTCTTTTATGCTGCTTTTAAGAAGAGATTTTTATCTTATAAACCAATCCTATTTGCTTTCTACCTACAGATTTCTCAGTTGTTCTACTATAGAATACTTTGCTGGTTTCCATTGCTGTTAAAAATATGTTTCTTTAAAAAACATTTTTCTGCCATTTGTGGCAAATTGGGGTGGGAGGGGAGGTAGATGATGGTCAGTTCACCATCTTGACTTAAGCTTATTGTATTAGTTCTTGTGGGGTTTTTGTTGTTGTTCCTTTTTTTAAAAAGTTTTTGTTCATTTTGTCAAGCAATGGATATCGTAACTAGAAAACAAAATATAGTCAAGCATAATGAAGAATGACAGTTTTTGAAAGACAAAATATTGTATTTTCATAAGTATCAAATGTGTTACATTTTGCAATAAGGTTCATTTGGTAAAGAAGAATGTTCATCTCTTAATTTCAGTAGCACCATCGTACACTGTAGCAAAAATCTCTTAGTTCCAACTTTATAAATGAAAAAGCAACTGGGTACTATTGCTACTAAATTCTGTTCACTTCAAAGGACAGTCATAGAATCTGATTTTTAAAAAAAAAGATGCGATTAGACTGGTTAAGCTTGTATTTGGCTATGTGCAGTTAAAAAGTAAGACTTGTTTTGCTTCACATTGTGACCCCTAGGGTTGGTGGTCCCAGTCTCACAGAGCAACCATGTGTGGATACAACTGGGTTTGCTCTTCTTTCCCTGCCTTCCTTCCTAGTGCACATTGTCCTTATTTGTACAGGTTGCCTGGCAGCTCTAGGCTGCCATCTGGGGTCCTGTCACGAGTTTGTATCAGCTGACTCTATTATTTTTCTTGGCAAAATCACACATATACTTTGTTGACCAAATTGTCACATGATCCCTCTTAACTGCAAATAAGCCTGGAAATCAAGTTTTTAAATTTAACGCCTAACTCCCTGGAATGAAACCAAGATACTATTAAGGCAAATAGAGTTTGTGGCAGGCCAAAGCAGTGTCTGCCACAGAGGCTGGTGTTGTTCATAGGGCCTGGCACTGCCACAAATGCCTGGTGGACATGTCCGTGCTGCATATGCTGCCACAAGTATCTCGACATGCACAACATACACACAAACACATAGAAAGCATTTGCCTAAGTAAGAATGGTACTTTTATTTCTCCATTTAGCCAGATGATGCTTCTCTCAACAGTACTACCCTGTCTGATGCGTCCCAGGACAGAGAAGGGAGTTTTGCAGTTCCCAGGAGTGGCTCTGTGGTAAGTTGTCGCTCGTTGACACAATTGCCTGTCAAGGCACAATTGCAAGTCACAGAAACTGATGTAGGAAGATAAGAGGAAGCAATCTCTCCAAGACAGGTTTTTTTAAAAGCTTGAACTAAGATTTGCAAAGAACCCTCAGCTGCTTTTAGATCCACCAACCTTGTAACCTTAGGAAGGAGGCTCAGAACTCCAGAATGAGTAGATCTCAGTTTGGAAGAGGACTCCATGAATTAATACCACTGTAGCCAGAAGGCAAAGGATGTTCCTTACACGTATCCAATGTGGAGGAATTTGTTCACTTCAATTCTCTTGGCTGGATTCACACAGAAAAATCCCAGAGGTGTGATGATCCAGTTTAACTGCCATCTTAACCTGGCAGTCCCTTTTACCCGCAGGATACATCAGACACCTTCATCCTGATGTTCAAGGTTCTCTTGTTGCCTGCATTTCCCACCTTAGTTCACAGGACTTGCCCATGCAGACCTTTTTCTCTAGACAGATCCATTCACTTGGCCTTGAGTAACAGCACTTGTACTCTGTCATTCTCCCACCTTTCACCCCCACTGAGAATGTCCACTTGGTATCAGGATGGACACCCCACCCCAGAAAACAGGAGAGACCCTGTTAGATGGTGGCAGTTGTTCAAGGGCAAGGATGGAAGGCAGCAGTTAGCACAGTGGTCTCTCAGATGGGGGTGGCAGTGGTTTCTCAACCACTGTCCATTTTGAAGAACAGCTGACACCCATATGCATGATAGGCTTCTGGGTATTCCCATTGTTTAGGAAGATAATGTGATTGTCCCATGTAAATGAGCTTTTCTGTTGTGTTTTTTGGTTAGGAGGCTGTTTTGTTTTATTGCACAGTGATCATAAAAGCATGATAAAATAATGTGAGTGACTTTGATCGTTGAGCTGATAGGTGATGGCATAGGTGGGTCAGGAATTCCCAGTGTCTGACGCCCTGACTTGTCATCCAGCTCTTTCCCATTGAAAACCAGGCATCAAACTGGGCTCGGTGGCTCAGCCTGTAATCCCGTGCCTTTGGGAGGCTGAGGTGAGTGGATTGCCTGAGCCCACGGGTTCGAGACCCACCTGGGCAGCGAGACCTCATCTCTACAATAAATCAAAAAATCAGCCGGGCGTGGTAGTGCATGCCTGTAATTCCGGTTACTCGGAAGGCTGAGGCAGAAGGTTCGCCGGAGCCCAGCAGGTCGAGGCTGCGGTGGCCGGGAGCAGCCATGGCACTCCAGTCTGAGCAACAGAGTGAGACTCCAACACAAAAAAAGAAAAAAGAAAACCAGGCATCGGAATGTGTATGAGTGAGGATGTCTCTACTTTAGATATCACCCCTCAAATCCACCCCATATATTAATAAAAACGAAGTAAATTGTCCACAAACTCTAGTAACTGCTGTAATATGGAGTTACCTGTACCCCTGTGACTGGAGACTGCTGCTCTAAGGACTTGCCCAGAATCCTTTATTTCCATCTCAGGCAGTGGCATCCATAGCCCAAGAGTCATCCCTGCATGTCAGCCTCCACTCTGCCTGTCCTTTCCCTCTTCATGCCCCTTTTTGAGACCAGTGGATCTTGTCATGTGAATGGTAGAATCTTGTTACTCCCCTCCTTTCTTACAACCATTTATTTAGTGCAGAAACTCATCGTCATCTTCCTGCGCTGTTGAAGCAGTCACCTTGGTGATCCCCAGACTCTATTGCCCTCAAGCCCATCCTTCCCACAGCTGTGAGGCATTGGTCTAAAATGCAGTCCTGCCTACAACCTGCAGTGGTTCTCCAACACCTTACAGGGAATGTGTAAGCTCCTGACTGGTCTGATCTCCAGCAGGCTTTAACACCCCAGCGTTGTGTACAAGCCTGTAGCAAAGGATTGCGTGTGGTTCCAGGCACACACCTGAAGCAGGATGGCCACATGATGGGCTTGCCAAGGAAGAGGATGGTGGCTTGCCTGGCTTTCTGGGTTTTTGCATGGCAGTTCCATGGTCACAATTTTATTTCTATAAGACAGTCATGTTTTTCTGTTTCTTTATTCCTTGCTGCTAACATCGCCACATCATTGGTTCATTTAGTCATCCATTCAACAAATCCTTATTGAGCAGATTGTCTACAAATAGAATTATTGAAAGTTGTACAGTGTAAGAGCAAGGAAATGGTCTTGTATGGCACATGTAGATAGAGCTGTCTGGGATAAGTTAATCACTCATTTTATTTTTGTTTTCATTTTGTTTTTCTGAAAGCAGTTGAATGTCAGCAATGAAATAAATAGAAGTTTCAATGGTATTGGGTCTAAAAAATCTCCCTGGCACCAATCTCCAAGTTGACTTACTTTGTTTGTTATTCAGAGTATCTTTGTTTAGAAATGTTAAGCAAAATGATTAGTTGTTAGAGTAGTCCGCAAATACTGACTTAATCCTTTAGTAACTACATTTTGGTCTTAAGCCTTCTCGCGCGCTCTCTCTCTCTCTCTCTCTCTCTCTCTCTCTCTCTCTTTTGAGTTGGGTTCTTGCTCCTTTGCCAAGACTGGAGTGCAATGGCATGATAACTGCTCACCACAACCTCAGGTGATCCTTCTGCCTCAGCATCCCAAATAGCTGGGACCACAGGTGCACACCACCATGCCCAATTAATGTTTTTGGTTTTTTGTAGAGACAAAGTCTTGCTGTGTTGTCCAGGCTGGTCCAAACTCCTGGGCTCAAGCAGTCCTCCTGCCTTTGCTTCTCAAAGTACTGAGATTATAGGCATGAGCCACCATACCTGGCCAGATATTTGGTATCTCATTGTCTTTGATATCTAGATTATAATTTCAGATGTGATTTATATTTTAATCTAAGATGTCATCGGAACACTCTTGAATTCATGTTTGAATAGATTTTGTAGTTGTTAAATTTTTTATTTCAGAATACATTGTATATTTGTCAGTGAATGCGACTCATTTAAGTTGGTCTCTGGGAAGTTTGGCACAGTGTATTTGTCAATTCTGAACTTAGGTGCAGAAAATTAAGACAGCCTCACTATTTCTGTTTACTCAAGCACAGGTGGCTTTCATACATAGAGTCATATAACACATAGACTCCAACCATTAGCAGAAACCAAACAGCCTGTCAGGAAGGTTAGAAACGTTTTTTAAATCAATGAATTTCTCCTAAGAGTAATCAACAGAGAATTGAAAATGTCTGGTATGGTGTTCATTGAATATAGAAGACAAATAATGCTAGTCAAAGTCTAGTTTTAAGATACAACTGTAATAGATAGTACCATCTATGATTTAGAATTTAAAATAATAATCCTTCATAGTCTACTCTAAGGTCCTGGCTTGGTCTCACTTGGGCAGCAGAGCAAGTTTCAGCAAAGGGAAAATACTGCCTTTTCTTAGCGATGGAAGCCCTGGTGAGAAGCAAATGTGTATAATTGAGCACATTAGGGAAATGGTAGGATCAATTCTCAAGGGAAGGTTGTTTTGAATGGGAGTGGCCTTTATATTTGAATACATTAATATCACTAGTACAAATAAAAACAATGCTAATAATATGGTCCTTAATGGGTAATGAATATTTTAAAACTATATGTCAAGCATCTAGCCTTTTCAGTCAACCTGTCAGTCCACCTGTGTCAAAACTCATAGACCATTTGTTGGCAGGCTGATCTTTCTGCTTCATTTTCACCGTGTCAGTCCCTTGCTTTAACAAAAGAGTGCTCCTTTGTTTTGTTCTGTTTTGTTTCTAACCTTTAGGATTCTAAGTCTCAGCTACTCTATCTGGCTTTCAAAATCTTCGATAATTTGAGATGACTCTCCTGATTAATTTATTTCTTTTCTTTTTCTAATGCCATGACTCAGCTCCTGGCACCCCAGTCTCTTAATGATCCCTTGTGCTGAAATGCTTCAGATGTGTCCATACCTGAAATCTCTGTTTCCATCTCTGGTCTGAATGCTTCTGTCTCCTCTGTCTTTGTAAGTTCTTTTCATCATTCCCCGAGTTCCAACTAAAGTTCAACCAGCTCATCAATGAAAAACTGGGCAGCATTTCCCTCTCTGTAACTCTCCAATAACGCACGTTTCGTATTGCAGAAATTAGCTCTCAAGAGTGGATTTATTGTCTTTTAATAATGCTCCATAAATGTTATCTCCTCACTATAAGTAACTCAAGAGCAGGGATTATGACTCCAACTTCTGCTTCCCCCAAGAACTAGTCCCACAGTTATTTACATTGCAAAGAGTAGGCAGTCATTTAACACAATAGGCTGGGTCGGGGCCAGTTAAACCAACTGGGCAAATTTAGAAAATGCTGGGAGGTTTAAGCATCCCAAACTATCAGCTTCAAGCCCTAAATAAATAAAAAGTCTTATCAATTTTCAGAAGCGTCTTCTTTCCCATGGATGAGTTATTTCAGAGTCTGACAAATCATTTCTTTGTTGGAAAATGTAAGGAAACCACTGATAAGTTGCCCACGTCTTTTTAAGGTTTTTAGTGTGTGAGTAATCTTTATTTTGTAGTGTTAGGTTTTAGAGCTACCTAAAATATGACTGACAATGAACTACATGGCCCTAGACCTTTTGTTTTCTTTTGTTTTTTCATTCTTCCACCAATTACAGTAATTGGGCATCTGTGTTTTAATAATTGGCCACATAGTCACATGCTGTTTGTATTGTTAGAAATGTATTATTTCCTTTTAAATAAAAGAGAAATAAAGGAGAATTTGAAGCTCAGAATTTGAGATGTCGTGCAATTTGTTGCACATGATAAAGGATCTTTTATGAAGCAGGTGTTCAGTTATTGCTAAGTACATATGAGAATGAAAGAAGCAACATCAGGCTCTGAGGGGAAATGAACAAATTTTATGTGTGAATAACATATAAAAGAGTCTTGATGGAATAGCAGGTTTTCACCCACAGATACTCACATTAAAATGTATCTAACTTGCATGTAAATTTTTTGGTAGGGTTTCTGTATAAATTTTTACTGATACCCATGACTTGAGCATAACCCGATGTGCAGAACTCTACAAAGATAGATACTCTCAACTTCTAATAATATTGCAGGAGAGTTCAGTGTGTTGGCAGGATCTCAATGAAGTAAGTACTAAATTAATTAGGAGGGGAAACTGAATTAGAAAAGTTATCATCATTCTGTATTTTGCAGTGATGGAATTAATATGTTAATGTTATAGTAATAAAATGATTGATATAGTTAAGACAAAAATGCATGAAGATTAATTAACAAATGATATTATAATTGTCAAATTGTGTGATATTAAGCATCATTGTTTCTACATCTTAGCAAAGGTATAAGTAGCAAATATTTAAGAGCCAAGAAGGCATGTTTATAGGGAACTAGACCTTGACCTTGTTTCCTTTTGAGAAACCTATATGAGAAACCTGTTTGAACTGAATGTAGCAACAAATGAAATGAGAGGTAGGCCCTTTAAGAAATCAAGAAGTGCTTTTTTTGTGAAAAGAACTCTTGTATATCACAAACAAAAGTCAGACTGAAATGTGGGGCAGACTGTATTCATGGTATAATGTCTTGTTCATCTTCCCTTGCTTGGCAGTCTATACTGGAGAGTATTGCAGACATTCCAGTTCATTCCAATGGATCTCCAGACCCTGGACAGTCAGTTCAGAACACCTTGAGTGGTGAGTGACAGGCCTCTTATTGAACTTCAGCTGCATCCTCTCTCTCTTGTTCTGGCACTCAATACAGTTAGCAGTGAATTTCAAAAAGCAAAATATATGTGCTTTTCTCCTCATTATAATTCTGTAACTTTGATCCCCACTTTACCCACCTACCTCCAAACAGCCCGTTCTGTCACCCCACACAAAATCAAGCCAACTCGGGTAGTGTCTTTGACTCGAAACCTTTTGCACGAGTAATCTGGATCTCCTCGATGGTTGCAAGTGGTCCGGGAAGCAGGACACTTCCAAGGATCCCTAATTACTACTCAAGTGGATACAGCACCAGAAAAGATGGTAGGGGTGGCCTTTATCTGTGCCTCCTCCACTGGAGAAGTGGGCTCCGTGGGTGGACCAGTATGGTTTCTCAAATTCTCCTTATAGAAAATAGACCCCCTCAGGCCATATTTTGTGGTTCCTCAAAGTTTCCCAAAATATATACACTCTTAGAGCCTGTACTTTTGGCACTGTCTTCAAAAATCAAAGAAATTGGGGTAATAAAAATGTTCTAAGATCAGCTGTACTGATAGCTGCACCACCCTGTGAATATACTAAAATCCATTGACTTGTACACTCTGAATGGGTGAATTTTATAGCATATGAAGTATATCTCAATAAAGCTGATAGGAAAAAAATTCAAAAAGAAGGGCCTTGCCAGAAATTAGTATCCCACATTGTTCTATTTGTTGCCATACTGTAATTTAGTTCACACCACTCCACTAAAAGACAGACATCTATATGGAGTGGTCCTGTGGTTTGGAGCATGGGCCTATTTAATTGCTGCTCTCCAAAGAATCCTCTCATAGAGCCTTAGGACATTTATAGTATTCTGTCGTTTATTTTGTTCTGTTTTGAATGCAAGCCTGTGCATGACAAGTGAAAATTATTGCTCTCCCTTTGCCATTGTCTAAGCCATGCTGCATCCATTTATTGTGTTTTCAATTAGTATTACTATTCAGAATTCTTAAATCTGCTGACTTATAAATTTCTCCACCTAACTTTAATGTAAAATTAATTAGGCTTGCTACTAATTCTGCCTCGTGTTCCTTTCGTTCTGTTGGGTAGTCTTCTAGTCAGTGTCTGTAGAAGAGGGCAAAAGAGAATGAGTTCTTTTTGTGATCAAATAATTCTTTCTTCACATATGAACAGTTTCTGCCAGGCAATGAAACAAGGTGACATGCCGAAATCTTAGTCAGAAATCAGTTTAGAATTGCTCATATGATTTATGAATTCAACTTGGTTTTGCTCAAGGAATCTATGCCTTAATTTTCAAATTAGCTTGAGGGAAGCATTTTGAAGGGGCATTACTTATAACCCCTTCAGCTTTTTCTTAATAGCATACACAGTCAGGTAACCAATCTCAGATTACAGAAATTCAGATTAATTCTCCTGCACAAACCTAGTGGTGAAATCTAAATTGAATTTGAACAGATTTTAAAAGGCAAGTATTCCACAGTTTGAGGAAGAAAAACAAGAGAAGTAAAAATAGGAATTCTAGCAGGACTCCACCCTTTCTTCTTCTGCTTTAAGCCTCTGGTTCCCCTAACAGTAACATTGGGATTAGCTTAATTATAGTATCATAAGAATATATACAAATACCCCATTTTTAAACTTTTAATAATCCTTAGCAATTTTCATGAAACATAAAAATCTAATATTTTTAAAAAATCAGATTAAATGGAAAGTTTGTTTGGATAATGATGATAGAAATGCGTTCATGTGGATGTCTGATCATGCTACATTATTGTTTAACCAAATACGTTTGGGTTAGCCTACTGCTTTTTCTTGGATATAAACATTCTAACATGCTTGGGGATTAACTTGTGTTTTGTGTTTCTTTCATAGTAAATAGTATTGATTGACTAAATGGCATAGTAAATATTGTATATTCTTTGTTTTTTTAGATGATGATTATCTGGAAAAGAACATTCCGCCAGAGGCTGAAGAGTTATCTTTTGAAGTGTCTTATTCAGAAATGGTAACAGAAGCTCCAAAAAGACATAAACTTAAGAAGTCAGAGATTAAGAAGGAAGACTATGCTTTAACTGTAAGTAAAACCATTCGTGATTATTTCAGTAACTTCCTATGACTTCTTCATGGGACAAAACTGAGATTTATTTTTTTAATATATCTATGTTTGCACAAAGAAACTAGAGAGGTCAGGCATCAGTATTGCATGCCACCATGTGTAGTATTATTTGGGGCACATTTATTGTGCAGCTGTGGGTTGAGGAAAAATTGTGAGAGTGTGTCCTTGAATACAGTTTTACAGATGCAGTAGGATTTCCACCTGGCTTGTGAGCTTTTTTCCACTTAGTATCCTTACTTCACTTCTAAGTCAGTGTAGACCCTGCCTTTACACATGCATGCTTCTATCAGCCACGTCAGAAGGGAGTGCAGTAGCAAGATACTCATAACAACTAGAAGCATGAGTTCATAGGACACTAAAAACTCATCAAAGCCAGTCAAGAATTTATATTATTTTGGGATGGGCACATAGAGCTATGGGCATTGTTATTCTGAAAGTCTCATTGTATATAACCAGGACATTATATCCTGAACGTCTCATACAGAACCATGTTGCGTTGATCTATTTGCTAATCAATCAATGCGTGTGTGAAGAGTTTCTGATGTGGAATCCCAAATATTCTGTTCTGATCAGGGGTAAAGGAACGAGTCACCTAAAAACAGAATCTTTGCACCAGGCAGCCTGAACTATTCCCAGACAACCACTCCATGACAAAGACGAAGCAGAGGACAGGAAAGACTCACTGAGTACCTTCTGCAGGCATGACACTGCACTAGGTGTTCCAGTTATAAGGTGCACCCTAGTGTTTACTCCTGTTTTATAGCTTAGCAAATCGAGGCCCAAAGAGGCTGAGTAACATGTCCAAAGCCCCACAGCTAGTAGGAGCAAAAACAGAATTTAAACCTCAGTGTACCAAACTTTATTTTATTTTATTTATTTTTATCTATCTAGCTATCTTTATCTATCTATCTATCTATCTATCTATCTATCTATCTATCTATCTACTAATTATTGTTTTGGGCTATAGTCTCACTCTGTCACCCAGGCTGGAGTGCAGTGGCACACTCATGGCCACTGTGGCCTCTTCCGCCTCAGCCTTCCAAGTAACTGGAACTACAAGCGTGTACTACCACACCTCACTAATTTTTTGATTTATTGTAGAGACGAGATCTCGCCAAGTTTCCCCGGCTGGTCTCAAACCCATGGACTCAGGCAATCCTCTCACCTCAGCCTCCCAAAGTGCTGGTATTACAGGCTTGAGCCATCATGCCCAGCTGAGAATGTGTTCTTAAAACTTTGTAATTTAAATAACTAAGGGATTTTTCTTTATTAGGATTTTTTCCAATGTCAGGTTTCTGAGAGCAAATGTACCTGAGGATATTCTATAAGAGTAATCTGGTTTTTAAAGGTTTTGCTGCTTAAATTCTTCACAATATGCATATTTCTAGATTGTTGAAGGATTTATTGTTGTTACTATTTTAGTGTCTTTTGTTTCTTAGTATGGAAAAGAGACTAAAACAGCAGCATTGTCTTCAAAATGGTAATAGAATTATTTGCACTTCCTCTGCTTATTGGTTTTTAAGAATTTGGAATCATCTAGCTTTGCTTCTTATTTATTTATTTATTTATATTTTTGAGTTGGAGTCTCACTCTGTCGCCCAGACTGGATGCAGTGGCCGCTCCCGGCCACCGCAACCTCGACTTGCTGGGCTCCGGCGATCCTTCCACCTCAGCCTTCCGAGTAGCCGGAATTACAGGCATGCGCTACCATGCCCGGCTGATTTTTTGATTTATTGTAGAGATGAGGTCTCGCTGCCCAGGCGGGTCTCAAACCCGCGGGCTCGGGCAATCCACTCACCTCAGCCTCGCAAAGGTGCAGGATTACAGGCTGAGCCACCAAGCCCGGCTAGCTTTGCTTCTTAAGGCAGAATAGCTGCAGTCTCAGAAGGCATGTGTAACCAGTTTAAACTGAGAGATTACTAAGAGTCTTTCAAAGTGTGCAGGATGGAATAGAAGAACCCTGATCTAAGGACTGACTATCCAAAGATAGGTCTAAAGCTCTCCTGGCATGCACCCAGGTGTGTTGCCTTGTATGTGTGTATCACGTATAATCCAATTAAGGGCCGTGATGTATATATTCCCTGCGTTGCCTGGCATGTATGTTGTGTGACAATACAAGATGCTCCTTATAAGAAGGCGGTGTCCACAGTTGTGATGGCCATGTTACCGTATACTTCAGACCACTATTTTGCTTCTAATTAGCATAGTAGTGATCTGCAAGTGTTCTGAACAACATATTCATAATATCCCTATGATATGGCAAAATCTACTTAGAGATTTTTTTGCAAATAGCATGTTTTGCTATATTTAGAATGTCCAGGTGACATTTTGGGGAAGGTATAAGAATTTTCCTTTGCCGTAAATAATAAATGTCTTCATTGTGTATTCTAGAAATTTATTGTTCAGAAAACCAGATTTGGCTTAACTGAAGCAGGAGATCTGTCTGCTGAAGACATGAAGAAAATCCGCCATCTCTCTCTGATTGAACTGACTGCTTTTTTTGATGCCTTTGGAATTCAGCTAAAAAGAAACAAAACAGAAAAAGTAAAAGGACGAGGTAATTAAGAAGACTGATCACTTCTGGTTTTAACGCTTTGACACCATGGAGTAAGACAGTGCTTTTCTGATTCTTTTCTTTCTTCCCCCTTGACTATTTTACAATGAAGACAATGGGATTTTTGGAGTTCCACTTACAGCCCTCCTGGACAATGACCGAAAGAAAGACCCTGGAGTGAAAGTTCCCCTGGTCTTACAAAAAGTGAGTAGGATGCAAATGAAGGGGAAAGTTCACAGAGCTTCATGCTTGTGATTTGGTGTATCATAAACCCATGAATGAATTTTCTTTTAAATTTAAAGACACTGAAACCCTGTTCGGACTCAGGCCCTTGGTGATTTTCAGCTTTATTCCATGCACCCTCATAACAGCCCACAGACGCTTGATATATACTTTTGGAGCCTGTTACACTGTTTGACCCTTACATATCAGTTGATGGACACAGATGTTCTGACCAATGACTTCCTCCAGCTATATATTTTTTAAATGTTATTTGTGCAAATGTGTATGTTTGTGTCTGCATTTGATTATTCTGTCTAAATAAAGAGGGCCATTAATTATTAGCAATACACATATGGATCATACAATACAAGTAATTGCTGAGATATAGACAGGATTCTTAAGTGTGTATTTGTAATCATTTTATGAATTTTCCAAACAAAATTTAATAAAGTCTAAAAATCAGCTTGTTCTGGTGGATTTTTTTAGGTGTAACTGGGCAGATAGGACATATTTAGACAACGAGAAAAATTTTGGTGGAAGGGGGTTTTGAAAAGAGTATTCTCTGAACTACCAAATGTGCCTATCAATGCTAAATAGCTGATTTGCCTTTTTTTTCTTTCTTTTTTTTTTTTTTGAGTCAAAGTCTCACTCTGTTACCCAGGCTGGAGTGCAGTAGCATGATCGTGGCTCACTGCAGCTTCAACCTCCTGGGCCCAGGCGATCCTTCTGCTTCAGCCTCCCAAGTAGCTGGGACTGCACCACCACTTCCTGCTAGTTTTTTTAAGTTTCTTTTTTGGTAGAGATGAGGTCTCACTATATTGCCTAGGCTGGTCTTGAATTCCTGGGCTCAAGCAGTTATCCTGCCTCAGCCTTCCAAAGTGCTGAGATTACAGTCGTGAGCCACCAGTCTTGGCCTAGTTTGCTTTCACGTCGTGTGTTTTTGTAACCAACATTTTACACTGGTTTACCTAAGTATGCATGCATTCAACAGTGACATCCAGTGGCACAATTAAAATTCTAAGCCTTTACCACAGATCTTGCTGAATTTTAAAATGTGTTTTTAAGTGATAGACAAAAATATTGACTGAGGAAACATGTACTTACTTACTCACACTGACAATTCTGCGTCTCCCATCTTCCTATATTTTACTGCCAATGCCTCAAATTGAGCTATTCCTCAAATCAGGTGACTGATTGGCAGGCGATGGGAACAGGGAGGATGGCAACCAGATAGCCAGAGAGTGCCGGGAACCTCTGTGTGCACAGGGGCTGTGGGTGGGACACCTTCCCCGGCCAAGCTGCGCTGGTGCCATCCATATCTTATCACGCCTAATCAGCTTGGAGCGACCCAAGTAGGCTGGTGGTATCGTCTCCCTTTTATTGATGAGGTAACTGAAGGATAGGAAGGTGAGATAACTTACCCAAGAACACACAGCCAGCAGGAGATACTAAAAGAAGAAAAGCAGCACATATCCACGTCCAAAGTTCATGGGGGTTTCAAGACTTGTCTTTCCTCCTTTGAGTTAAAACCAAAATTCCCTTTGTCCTTTATGTAAAGGACAGAGTTTGAAGAAAATGCATACAAATAAAAAACGGAAGATTTAACACATGAGTTGTTATTATTATGAAATAGATGCAAAAACCTAGCACAGAACTTAGCAAATGGAAGCAAATAGAAAGTACTCAGTAAATGCTAGCTAAACTGAATCTGGGTTTATATCATATTAGCAACTTAATAAGTGTTAGCTGTTATTACTGTTATCACTCAGTGTTCACTGTTTAAGACAACTTGAGGTAGTACTCTTCTGTTCCTCTGAGATAGTCACTTCTTAAAGACATGTCTCTTCTTCCTAAGCATCCATTTCTCTGAGATCTAAAAGAACTTCCTTAGTTCTAGGCATCATTTCTTGAAAGGAAAACAGATTCTTGACTCTCCTCATTCTGTGTGAACTTGGGCAAGTTACTTATCCTTTCCAAAGATGCGTTGTGAGCAGCTCTATTACGTAACAGTGAATTGAACTGTATGTCTCCTCAGCAGTAGAATGGGGATAATAGTACCTACCTCACAGAATTATTGTGAAGATTATGAGTTAATATGGGCAAAGTACTGAGAATAAACTCTGTCTCACAATAAGCTCACAGTAAGTGGTAGTGTTTTTTATTATTATTATTATTATTATTTTATTATTTTATTTTTTGAGTTGGAGTCTCACTCGGTTGCCCAGACTGGAGTGCAGTGGCCGCTCCCGGCCACCGCAGCCTCGACCTGCTGGGCTCCGGCGATCCTTCCGCCTCAGCCTTCCGAGTAGCCGGAATTACAGGCATGCGCCACCACGCCCAGCTGATTTTTTTATTTATTGTAGAGATGAGGTCTCGCTGCCCAGGTGGGTCTCGAACCCGTGGGCTCAGGCAATCCACTCACCTCAGCCTCCCAAAGGCGCAGGATTACAGGCTGAGCCACCGAACCCGGCTTTTTATTATTATTTTAACACCCATCCCTACCATGAGAACTCCTGGGAGCTATTAACCTTTACAATTTCCAACTTCTTGGAGGTTAGATATCTGTAATTCATATAGTTTCTTAGCCAAGGTGGTTGCAACTAATGATAGTAGATTTAGAATCATTTCTTACTGATCAATTTGCAGAAAGAGATATAGTAATCAGATCTTAAAAAGGTTAAATGGCAGCATATTATAGTGGTTAAGAATACAAGCTTGAGGCTGGGCATAGTGGCTCATACCTGTAATCCCAGCACTTTGGGAGGCTGAAGGAAGGAGGATCACTTGAGGCCAGGAGTTCAAGAGCAGCCAGGGCAACAAAACAAGACCCCCATCTCTACCAAAAATACAAAAAAAAATTAGCTGGGCTTGATGGCATGTACCTGTAGTTCTAGATACTTGGGAAACTGAGGCAGGAGGATCACCTGAGCCCAGGAATTTAAGGCTACAGTAAGCTGTGATTGTGCACTCCAACTTGGGTGACAGAAAGAGACCCTGGCTAAAACAAACAAAGAAATAAAAAGAACACAAGCTTGAGAGAGTGGCACTACTTATGAGGTTGATCTTGGGAAAGTTATAGAACTTCTCTAAATCTCCATTTCCTCATTTACAAATTAGAAGATAATGTTGACCTCATAGAGTGGTTGCCGCATATATGAGGTCTGACAATTAGGTTCGTGAACCATCCTAGAATAAGTGTTACCAGGCCAGGCTCGGTGGCTCAGCCTATAATCCCAGCACTTTAGGAGGCCGAGGCAAGTGGATTGCCTGAGCCCATGGGTTCGAGATCAGCCTGGGCAACTTGGTGAGACCTCGTCTCTACAATAAATAAAAAATTAGCTGGCATCATAGTGTGCGCCTGTAGTTGCAGCCACTTGGAAGGCTGGGATGGAAGGATCACCGGTGCCCAGCAGGTAGACGCTGGGGTGGCCGTGAGTATGCCCCTGCATTCTAGCCTGGGCGACAGAGTGAGACTCTAACTCAAAATAGAAAAAAAAGAAAAGAAAAAGTGTTATCTACCTCATTGCTGAATATCACTACAGTCACCTTCGAAGGACTCCCTTTGGGAAGCTATGCATCAACGCCAGTGCCCAGTCTACCCGTCAAAGCAGTTTTGGAACTCTTTTTCTGAAACGGCCATCAGAGCTGTTATTGTTATTTGTGAGGTGTGACGATTAAGTTCGTGAACTTACCACCATGCACTTAACTTGGCTGCACAATACAGATTTTGCAATACTCCCCCTCCTCACCTGATCTGACCCCCATATACTTTTTCTTTACCCGAAGATAAAGGAAATATTGAAAGGAAGACATTTTATGGCATTCAGGACATGAAGGGTAGTGCCACGACAGCTCTGATGGCCATTCCAGGAAAAGAGTTCCAAAATTGCTTTGACAGATGGCCTAGGCACTGGCATCAGTGCATAGCTTCATAAGGGGCATACTTTGATGGTGACCATAGTGATATTCAGTAATGAGGTATATAGCGTTTTTTCCAGGATGAGTTTGTGAACCTAATTGTTGGCCCTTGTACATGCTTGGTTATCAATTCATGTCATCATCATTATTATTTCAGATGTTTATAATCATATGGAGGTACTTATTTTGTAATATATCATTGTTTTCTAGTTTTTTGAGAAAGTTGAGGAATCGGGTCTGGAATCTGAAGGAATTTTTCGACTTTCGGGATGTACTGCCAAAGTCAAGGTACTAGACATTTTTCTTCTCTTGGTTAGAGTTTTAAGCTAGCTAGACCCAGTTCTAACTGTCTAGGTATCTAGTTCTTTGTTGTTGTTGCTTATTTCGTACTATCACTTTGTCCTACCTAGTATTTGTTGGTACCTGTAATAAAATGTGTGGTCCATGATCCAGAGTTATTTAAACCACAGAAATAAAAAACCAACAACAGTGAAACAGCACATCAATTCACCATCAAAAACTGCTGCTTATCTTTAGTTTGGAAAAGTCTAAATGTCCCATTACTGTTTTGGGGATTAAACAGTCTAGTTTGTTTGTTGCTCTAAGTCATGGAATTCACTAAGCCAATGTTAGATGAGCTCTTATATCCATGATCAGTTGCTTTAAATGTAGAAACATTTTTTCGCTCTCCTTTTGGTGAAAGTTCTTATAGGAATTTGTAGCCATGGCCATAACCACTAGAATACTCACCCAGCACTTCTAAAACCCAGTTCCATTTATGGAATTGTTGGTGTCACATGAAACCAACTGTGCAAGATGAATCTTTTTACTTTACTTTCTTCTGTAAGGTGGCAAACTCTACAGTATTAATAAAGGAAAGAATTACTAGTGGAAATAAAAAGCTTTTCTTAAAAATCCAGTAACAGGCCGGGCTTGGTGACTCAGCCTGTAATCCCAGCACTTTGGAAGGCCGAGGTGAGTGGATTGCCTGAGCCGCGGGTTTGAGACCTGCCTGGGCAACTTGACGAGACTTCATCTCTACAATAAATCAAAAATTAGCCGGGTGTGGTAGCGTGCGCCTGTAATTCCAGCTACTTGGAAGGCTGAGGTGGAAGGATCACCGGAGCCCAGCAGGTCAAGGCTGCAGTGGCCGGGAGCAGCCACTGCACTCCAGTCTGAGTGACAGAGTGAGACTCCAACTCAAAAAAAAAAAAATCCAGTAACATATCCCATTGTGTCTGCTGGTGAGCAGACACAATGAAGAGTTCGTTCTTACCTTTTGAGACTCCCTGGCTTGTGAACATTAAAACCAGTTTTAAATGATGAATCCCTGAGAAAAAAGTTCCAGAGTGAGGGGAAAATAAATGATTTATTAAAAGAAAATGCAAAGAGGTGGAACAGCATCTCTTCATTAATTCATTTTGGTATGTGTTTTGGGAAACTCTATTTGTATCAGAAGTCTCGGGTTTTTAATATAGAGGTGTGACGAGAGGTTTTTCTTTTTTTTTTTCTTAACATTTTGACAGTTTATTTTGAAGGACATTTTTAAAACAAAGTTAAAGACAATCTGGGAAAAATTGCACAGAATACGCTCATTAAATAAGTATGGTAATTAAACCAGAATAAGGGAAATATGTTCTCTTCTGTAACTCTGGAAATAAGTTCTGTTGTCCTGAAGGATCTTACACTTCTAAAAAAAGGGGGATAATCGTGGCAATTAAAGCTGTCTCTTAATCATATAAATCTACAATAGCAACCAAATTTTTCTGTTCTTCCCAATAAGTCAGTTTCGATCTTCAAACTGTGCCTTTTTTTAAAAAGATGCTAGAAATTCAATGGGATTTGGTGGTCTTTCCTTTGCGAGCGCAGCAAGGCCCTGAAATAGGATAGGCACAACCCTCTGATCCAGGTAGGCAAAGACTAGAGATCCACCTTCTGTTTTGATAACTTTTCTGCATTAATCTTCTCATTTTCCACTATTCCCTCCACATTATCGGTGAGGCTGTACTCGGAGTGGGGATTTTCTGCCACCTGCATCTGGCCCTCCAGCATCTGCTCCAACTCTGTGGCGGCCCCCGTACGTCACCCTCCGGGGACACCAGTCTTGGAAAATAAGAAGGGCCACGCATTACCTGGATGGTCTACCTCGGTGGTCGTGCCCATGAATCTCGCCCCTGCCTGGGCCGAGGGGTGCGACCAATGAGATGTTTTTCTAAATGGAAGCTGAAAATAAATAGGCTGTATCTACTGGATTCTCCAGAAAGAAGATACTGAGATGGATTAGGAGCAGAACAAGGTTACAGGGAAAGCATTTCTGAAAGACAAAAGGGATGGGAAGCAGGACTGGGTGGGTGGCCTAGGCCACGGTGCAGGGCTGATGGTTCATTGCCATAGAGGAGCTGTGCGCCAGGCAGAATGGGCCAAACCCTTGCACCCAGCCTCACTCCATCCTGGGTCGGGACTTACTGCGAAGAACGTAGCTGAGACAGATCCAGAAGAGAATACAGCTGGGAGAGCCAGCTGCCTGTGCTTTGGCAGATGAATGGCAAGTTCTCTTTTGAAGGGAGATCAGAGCAGAGCACCAGAGCATCAGCACCAGTGGCATCAGGGATCCGGGCATGTTGGGGAGTCATGACTTCCCCAAGAACAAAATAGGCTCAATACTGTCACTAGTTCACTTGGAAGACAGGGAGATGTCTAGCAGCTTCTTACAGTCTATGATTCCTAAATTGAATTTGCTTTTTGTCCTAGTTTCTCATATTTTTGTTCTTACGTATACTTTCAAACAGATATATACTAAATCTGAGGATGAAAATCATCACTTATTTTGGTTAAATCTTTGTTTATATCTGTCAAAGAACCAAAGTGAAATCAAAGAAACAAATTTTCTAAGCAGAATCAGGCGCCATCCCTCAAAACCTCCATGACTTGGAAGCTGTATTTGCACATATTCTCACTAGTTCCTGTGTGTGTGTGTATTCATCGATGTGTGAAAAGCATAATGGATGGGATTTCAATTCTCTTTTTCTAAATCATCACAAGGAGAAAACATCATAGGACATTTCTTGTGTACACAGAGTTTTATCATCATAGTAGGTTACTTTTGATTAGCTAATCTTCGACTGAAAAATGCTTATCAAAGGCTACTAATTCTTTCAAAATGTTCTTATAGGCACATACATTCCTGACCCAGATTTAGGTCCAAGTCTCTTTTCTCCCTAATCAGTTTTATGTAGTTTCAGTCTATTTATTTCGTAGCTTATTAGTCTGAAAAATATAATCCAGATGTTTTCCAGGTTTGAGCTCCAAGAAACCAATGTGAAAGAAATCTAGGCCAGTGTGAACAGGGAAATATGGAAGTTAGAAAGGCATTGTAATGTGATGTATTAAAGGGAACTTTATTCCTCTCCTTTATTCAAACTTCAAACTATTTCCCTTTTTTAATTTTTATTTTTGTAGTTCATCCATTGAACTACTAAAAACCCCATTATAATTAACTTCAGATCGCGCCAAGATAGTGACACCAACACTGTGGTCCACTAACATGTCATTACAGTGGAGAGATCAGCCTGGCTTTGTGCTTTAAACGTTTCTAAGACCCCACCAGGAAGCAGCCCTGAGAGGAAGTCTCTGGTTTCAGTCAAATAGGGAACACACAGCTGCGAAGCCAAGTCCCAGATTTGAGGCCTCAGCTCATTTGGAACCAATCTAAGGCTTTGGTGTTTCTATGATTTTGTTTTCAAAAATGACAGAAATTTGAGCCAAACACTGGGGAATATATTGCATGGAAGGAAGCAGACTGACATGCGAGGGTTTCTTTCTTGACTAGTTTGAATCATTCTGAGGCTGCACTAAATTTTTTATAATTACATCACCTGGCTTGTTTTGGCTGGTTATTTGCATTTGTATAAAACTACCTCAGAACTTGAAGCAGGTTGCATTTTTGCTCAAAGGAGATTTAATGACATAACTTCTGATCCTTGCCTAGTGTTCTCATTAATAGGGAACAGAAAGACATGACTTCTTTAACCTCTAAGTGCCCCTGTGTTTGGCAAGGTAAAGTCACACCCAGTTTACATGGTTTCAAGTCTAGGACCCCTGATGCAATGTCAGCTCTGCTCAAAACCCAAAGAAGACGTTCTTTCTCTCCAAGTTGTTTTATATCAGCCATCTAGACAAGATGACATGGCATTATTACACCAATAGTCACACTATGTACTCATAGTGATCCTATAGTAATGCCTCTACGGTTAGAATAGACCTAGCAGGAGGGGGCAGAACGAATCCCAGATGTTTACTGAGTGCCCCTGTGTGGCAGGCCCTGCTCTGTGAGCTTTGTGCTATTCTATGTAATATCGGGGGGCCATTTTAATCTCCCTGTTGTACAGTGAGAAGCTTGAGGCACAGGCCACACCGCTAGACATGTATGAAATTGAGGTCAAAGCCTAAAGGATCTGATTATAGTGCCTGGCCTTGGCCTTGGTGCCATGTTGACCCTTAGGTGACTGGGAACCACTCACAGGTTAGAAGGGCAGTACATTTGTGATTCCGATAGAGTCCTTTGGCAGAGGTATGTGGAAGATGAATTTGAATTCTGCTCTTGCTGACACTTCTTTCCCACTTGGAAATCAGCGTCCCCTTTGCTTTCCAGCAGTAGATGGAAGCGTTTGCCCCTCCTGAATTCCCTGTTAGCACCTCCATCTGCCCCTACAAGTGGGGAATCATTTTGGATGATTGTTTCCCACTTCGAGTCTCCTATTCAATCCATTACTGATTCTTAGGTATTTTCCCTCCTAGGCATTTCTAAATGCTTCATCTCCTTTCTATCCTACAGCTGTTTGTCCAGGCTAATGCTTGGTTATCATCATCAGAAGTGGTTCCACGGCCCGGTGACTGTGTACTCTGTTCCCACCGGACCTACGCCAAGCTCCACACAGCAAATCATTTTTCCATCTGACTGTCAGGAAAGATAAATCTACCCTTGTTGTTCCCTTGCTTGGAGATGTTCCAGGTTGCCTCATGCCTACAGGTTGCAGTTAGTCCTCTTAGGACTGACTCCAGCTACTCCCTAGTCTCATTTCCTTGCCCGAGATGCTCCAGCAAGACTGAACTAATAGGACTTCCCCAGACCCATTGGGACTCCTTGCATTTTTATCACTGCCTGAGCAGTTTCTTTTCTCCAGGGACCCTCCTGTGTCCTCCTCCCTGGCAAGCGCCTCAATTCCTCAAAGCCTGGCCCCAGCAGAGTTTGACCCCCTCTCTCATGGCTGTATAGCACCAATCCATGACCTTTCTTATAGATGTGCTCTCTGAGTTAGTGTTACCAGTTCAAGAAATAGCCCCATAGCTGGATCACAAGATGCCCAAAGGCAAAGGATGAATCTCACGCATCCTCCTCTCGGCAGAGCCAGGCTAGTGTTCTCTCTTGATTCTGGGAAGAACTTTATATGTATGCTTGAGGCTTTATAAAGTGTATTTATCAGCAAAAGAGTGCTTGATTAGCTGTCATATTCCTGTAAGATTGAAAACTCCAGGACAAGAAAAAAATACCCTTTTGATGATGTTATCAGTAGAGCCAGAGGGTGGATCAGAGAGTCACGTGTATCTCTGTAAGAAATCTGTCCTGCCGTGGATCTCTATCTTGCAGGCTCTGGGAGCCATGACAGCATTTATTTCTGGCTGGTTAATGAGCTGATCCTTGTTAGGAAAAGGTCAGATATGCACACTGACTCTGGCTGTGCATGCTCCAGGCCAGAAGAATTAGGCCTCTCGTGAGAATAAGGCAAAGGCCTTAAAGAAACGGAGGACTTTCAGAGCTACCTTTGAGGAACAGTTGGTGTCAGGCGGGGGACTGACTAAAACTGGCTGGCATTATAGGTAAACCTTGTACTTCAAGGGAGCAGTGAAACATGAGTTTGGCTTTGAAAAAGACACATGGAGCATGAGTGGCATTGATAATCAGATGAATTAATAATGTAAAACGTGTGGGCCAAGTAGAACTCATGGAAGCTTAGTGATTTCTTTTTAAAGTATTTACACAGTGCTCCAAACCTTACGAAGGATTGGGCAAGCACTCAAACATGTGGAAGACGTGTGTGTCTTGGAATAAGACTTTGCTGGCACTGCTCCAGGAAGATGTCACTGGTCTGCATGTTGCAGCGAGGTCAGAGTTACTCTACTGGAATGTTTCTCATTCTGTATGTGAATTAACTGAGAAGCAAACCTTCTTAATCTATTTGAGAAAGAGAGAAGATGGTAGAAGGGATTATGAAAAACAGGAATGGAAACTTTTTCAAGACCTCGCAGTACATTTATCAAGTGGGAATAGTGGTATTTTGCCAAAACCATATAAACGAAACTGTGATCTGAGTGGAGAACTTTTATATTTGTAGAATCAGAAAATTCTTTCAAGGTTAACACTGTTCTAAAAATATTTTAGAAAGCCGTTTTTAAAAATTCATTTGCAAATAGCTATTTTAATTCCCTTAATCATGTTGAAAAAAGTTACTCTTAGTATTGCCTCATCAGTCTATTTACAAAAATAATTTATGTAATAATGGTTTCCAAAGGAGGTAAAGGGGGTCAGGTAGTAAAAACTCATTGACTATCAACTGTTTTCCTTGATTTGCAGCAATACCGTGAAGAACTGGATGCCAAGTTTAATGCTGATAAATTTAAATGGGACAAAATGTGCCATAGAGAAGCTGCAGTGATGTTGAAAGCTTTTTTCAGAGAACTGCCCACCTCTCTCTTCCCTGTGGAATATATACCTGCCTTCATCGCTCTAATGGAAAGTAGGTGGAAGAAGTTCAATGTGAATGGGCTAAGACACAAAGTCAATGAAGTGACAGCAGAAGAGAGACCCATAATCAATTGTGACACACATAGATTTGCTATTTCCTGACAGTCCTTGGTGAAATACTAAGTTTGATGGTAAACAGTCACCTACTTACATATTTAAGTCTGGTAGATATGATTTACAGGGTTTTAAATCATTAAAAGGCAGGGGGGGTTTCAGAAAGACTAGGTTCTTGAGATTTGAATTCCTGGGCAGCCATCTGTTAGACACACAGTCAAATCTTCAGAGCTTCAATTGCAGCATCTGTAAATTACAGATAATAATTACTTGTCATGGGTTGCTGTAGGTATTAAATGAAGTCATCTAGAATAGTGCCTGATGTGTAATAGTTGGTCAAAAAATAAGAGCTCCCTCCCTTCCTTAAATCTGAGGTCCTGGGTCCTGAGGATACAGCACACAATAAATGCTACACCAAAGATATTTTGTCTCTGAAAACTACTGTGTCAAATAGTGTATCTGAAAATTACAAAGTCACATAGATTTGGTCTTAGGTGAGATGCTTGAGTATCTCACTTGAGTGTATATTGCAACTGGCAGTCAGGGAATGATTTCTCATGGTTTGAGCATACAGGTTGAACATTGTAGAGAATGTCACAAGGAAAAATTTAGAAACGTAGAATGAGGCTAGGTAATGAGGGCTTAAACTACGAACTCAGGGAATTCACAGGTCACAAGCCTAAACAGGTACAAGCATGTGAAGTAAATGGTGATTCTCCATGATCAGAAGAAGGCTGTGGTCATACTGAGAGGAGAGGACACAGTCCATCTAGAGATGGTGATGGTGACTGCCACTCAGCTCTGGGTGCTGGATGTTGTGCAGGACTGAGAGCCAAATCCAGGCTCTGTTGGGAAAACTCTTAATTTGAAAATGTCAGCCAGGCTCGGTGGCTCAGCCTATAATCCCGCGCCTTTGGGAGGCTGAGGTGAGTGGATTGCCTGAGCCCGCGGGTTCAAGACCCGCCTGGGCAACTTGGCGAGACCTCATCTCTACAATAAATCAAAAAAATCAGCCAGGCGTGGTAGCGCATGCCTGTAATTCCGGGTACTCAGAGGCGGAAGGATTGCCAGAGTCCAGCAGGTCGAGGCTGCAGTGGCCGGGAGCAGCCACTACACCCCAGCAGTCTGGGCGACAGAGTGAGACTCCTACTCAAAAAAAAAGAAAAGAAAGAAAATGTCAGCCAGCCACACATTTACATTTTAAATGCTGTGTGAGTGATACCTATATCTGCCAGTTTACAACCTTCTGCAGGTTGACCAGAACTATAAAATCATTAAAATCACAATGAAGAAAAATAATAGATTCTAAGTTGTATGACAAGATTTGTCCTAAAATGAGTACGTTCGAAATCTTTGAAAACTTTAACTAAACCAGATTCTTAAATTAACTAAACCTGATTCATAAAATAATCTTTTGTGTCTTCGAAGAAGAGAATATGGTAGGCAAGGGAGTCCTTTTCTAAACTTTAAATTATGTTCTCTCTGTGACCCATATCTCTCTTCTTTGTAAGGTATCTTACTTCATGAGAAAAACTCACTGAGAAAGTAAGAAGAGCTAGCTAGTTCTCTTCATTCTTTTTCCTTTTTTAAAAAAATATATTTCTATAGTTCCAGAATTTTCAATTGGTGCTTTTAAAATATTTTCTATTTATCCACTGAGGTGACTATCTTTTCATTTTTTATGAGCATATTTTTCTTAACGTCATTGAGCATAGTTACACAATAGTTGCTGCAAAATCCTTGTCTGCTAGTTTCAACATCTTAGTCATCTCAGGGTTGGTCTCTGTCTTGAGAATTTTTTTTTGTTATGTTGTATGTCTAGATAGTTTAGGTCTGTTGTGAACATTATGAATATTGTGTGAGGAGACTCTGGATTCTGTAATATTTCACCAGATAGTGTTGTTTGGGTTATTTAATTATTGTTGCTGTTTTAAGCAGAAAATTTGCTTGGCTGGACTCAAATTGCCAGTGACCTAAGTGGTCTTTGGTCAGCAGCTCAATTCTCAGTATAGTTATTTAATCTTTCACTGGGCATGTAAGGTTTGTGGGTCAGCAGGAGATTTGAGTGGCGTTTATACCAGAACCAGGGTCTTCCATTTCTGGGTCTCTCCTTTCTGGGGTCTCTCCTTTCTGGGATTTTCCCCATAACTTTCCAGTGGCTGCGGTTGCCTTCAATCCTATCCTCTGGCAATCAGGCCAGAAAAACTGAGTTTTTCTTTTCAAGTGCTAGCCCCTTTCTACCACCATGTCTGTGGCCTGACCTCATACTGAAAGCCAGAAAAATGAGACCCTCTTCCTGGTACCATTCCTAGTTCCAAGTGTCCAGTCCCCTCCTGAATCTACCTGCTTTGGTTCACTCTTCGTGGCCTTCGGTAGTGCTGTTTTACACTGTGTCCAGAAGTTATTGTTATGTTCAGAGCAGCTGATGTGGTAGGAGTTTACTCAGCCATACCAGGAGCTGAATCCCTTCTCTGTTTTTAAGTAAAACAACAATAAAAACCGGCAAGATTCTCTGTGAAATTGGCTCTCCTGGAAAACAGGCCACAGAATTGTAGTTTCCCCTTGATCTGTGGTTTATATGCTAAACAATTCATTGAAACAACCTGGTGCCACAGAGGTGTTTTTGGTTTTTGCCATTATGTATTATGCAAGGGCGATCCAAACCTCCAATGCCAGACTGTTCAGAGATCAGATTTAGAAAAGGCATGTGAATATATTATTTGTCCTTACCATCATTACTCCCCATCTGGCTTCAGCCATCACACTTCGCTGGAGGGAGAGGATCTGAAACACATCCTCAAAGTGTTCACAAAGGAGTCTGCATTTCTTTGTACAACTCTGAAAGGGAAAGATACCATATTGCAGGTGATTGATTTTGATACCAGCCAACCCTGCAGGAAGCCCAAAGTTCTGGCCTGCTACCAGCAGGCAATAATGGCCTTTTTGCCACCTAAGTAAGCTCTCATTGTAACAAGATTTTCTGAAAGAGAGAACTGTGGACATGTGCATGTGTGTGTTTAAGCTGTCCCTCTTGATACTCCAAAACTGAACTCAGAATGTGGAGTCTTTTCCACTAGTATAATTACTTTCTCTTTTCAAACTCGGCCCCCAAATTGTCCATAAAATTAAAGGACTAATAGTTCATCTGTCAAACCTTAGATACTTTCATGAAAGGATTAATAGCTTTCTGGGGGGAAATAATGACCTCGGGAAAAGAATACTCTCAACTAGGATACATTAAATGAATTAAGTACAAAACTATTAACCACAAAACAGTGTAGGGCTGAGTTTCCTAAGTAAAATGAAAATGGGTTATGTGCCAAATTAAACTTTAATCTTAAGAGGAACTTCATAATTTCTCTGAAGTTAATGGAAGCACAGAGGTCCCAAGCCTGCATCTGTATCTGCATCTGTTGTTCCCCCCACCACCAGAGGTATTTTTGGGTTGCATTAGATTAGAGATAGCTCTCAGCCTGCCGTTATGCATTAAAGTCATGTCTTATCTGCCCCTAAATGCTTTGTACTGAGACATGCTCTTAATTACTTCTGTTATTCAGGCAAACTTACATCAATGTGATTAGCCATTTTTAATAACATCCTGGACCTGTGTCATATTTTGGTTTACAAATTTGGTATAAATATTTAGGTCCACATGTGGATTTTTCTATGACAATATAACTGATCCTATAAATACTCCTCCCTTTGTTCCTTTATTACTTGGTTGGATACACTTGTCATCTCTTCCCTAACTCCGCCACGCACTCTCTCTGGTAACCTAGAAGCTTGTCCCAAGAGTGTTTCCACTACTGTAAAGCTCAGTTAATGTTACAGGCAGCTTACTGCCTTCTAGCCATTGAATATAAATAGATAGATTTTCCTTCAACTTGAGAACTCCCCAGGGATTCCCGAATATAATGCTTCCCTCCAGGCCCTCCCTGCCAAGAGACCATTTTGAGGAGATTACAGAGAGACTAGAGATAGCCTGGATTCTCTGGTGTACTCTAAATTTTCAGCGCAGCTGGTCATGGATTATCCAGCTGTGGATAGAATCCAAAATATAAATGCCATCCCTCTGGCGCCATCTCGTGTCACTGTCAAGGAATAAAATACTCAACAATCTTCAAAGATCAAACTGCAGTCACCTTCCCTAAATGTCCATATAAGATCAGAATAAGTGTCATTGATTATAAAAACAAGAGCAAACACATAGATATGTGTTTAGATTCAGGTACATGCACCACTCTAAACATGTATAACTATGGCTTAAACACTATGTATGTTAGCTCATGTAATCCTCATAACAGCCCTGTGAGGTAGGTACAATGACTGTTCCAATTTTACAGATAATAAAATAGAAGTCACAAGGGGTTAAATAACCTGCCCAAGGTCACACGGCAGCAAAATAGTACAAGCAGGGTTTGAACCTGATTCTAAAATCTGTGCTCCTAATAATTATACTTTGCTGCCTCATGATGTAGAAGCATGGCTTATTTTCTCTTGAATTCAGCTTAAGCTGTCTCTTCTATTTATAGTATAAAAGTAAGGCAAGGTCTGTGAAAATGCTTGGAAAAGGGAAATGTTATACAAATCCAGATTATTTTGAGGATCTTGTTGACCACCTGCCTCAACAGTGACATCGTGGGATGTGAAAGGAGGGTTGATAGGCTGAGGCTCCTGTTCAAGTGAATAAATTTACATTGTTGGGCACAAACCTGAGTCCTTATCACCAAAAGCTGTCAGGAGCCTTCCTATGCCACCAGATGCTAGCAAGAAGTGCTGTCGAGATGCATCAGTGTTATTTAAGGTGTATGACTGTTTCTGTTTTCTTGTTAGGAGGGCCTCACATCAAAGTGCAATTTCAAGCCTTACACCTTATGGTCATGGCATTGCCAGATGCCAACAGGGACACAGCCCAGGTACGTTGTATCGACCTTGAGGTCTGACATTGGTCTCTTATTGCTCAGAGGAAAAGGCTTATATGGAAAAGCTGAGATGACAACTTGCCAGGCCACCTGAGCGTGCTGGCAACCCACTCGCTTTCCACGCCCCCACTGCTGTTTTCCTGAGGAAGATGAGAAAGAATTGAGATCCTGGAATGTTCTTTAAACATTTCAGTTTTATTCGTTTCATTCATTCAAAAGATATTGAGTGGCTACCATGTGCCAGTCACTGGGCAAGATGAGGAGGAGGAAAAGAAGTGAAGATAGAAAGAGATCATTATGTCACTTGCAAAATGTAAGAATCTTTGATCATTGATCCTCACTCAGCTGCTCACTCTGATCTCGTGTACTAAAGTGGCAGAAAAATCTGACGAGATGCCCTTGAGGAAGAAATTCTGAGTCGCTGATTTAAATGAAATTTCTGAAATGTTCATGTTTTAAAAACTTATTAAGATCGTACCCCACATCTTTAAGATAAAATTTAAAAACATATTACGATAATACAATGTAAATAATCCCAGCCTAGGCAAAATAGTGAGACCTCATCTTTACCAAAAAATCAGCCAGGCATGGTGGCATGTGCCTGTAGTACTAGCTACCTGGAAGGCTGAGGTGGAAGGAGGTGAGCCAGGAAGTCGAGGCTGTAGTGAGCTGTGATCATGCCACTCCACTCCAGCCTGGGCAACAGAGCAAGACCCTGACTCAAAAAAACAATAATAATAATAATAATTCTAGAATTTCAAAATTGTCAAGATCACCTGAGAGTATCTGATCATTTTACAGATTAGGAAAATGAAGCTCGGAAAAGTGATTTCTCCATTAATTTCTCCAATATTTGATGGACTCATATTCCATAGTTGTTCCATCCCAAATATCCCTCCCCTTATTTAAAAGTCATTTATTTGCTGTATGTTGGTAAAAATCAGTTTATCTTGCCATTTGGATGATGATTCTATATATGATTAGAAATATGTTATAAGTACAACAGGTTTGGGAATCTTTGAAATGGAATTAAGATTAGAATGAGTTGGAAAGAGCCTGTAATTTTGAGGCCAGTAAACGTAATGCTACCTCATATTCAGACTTTTTAGTGTGTTGGGAACCTCTCCCCTTACACAGAGAAAACATCCACATTGGTTATAATATATGTCAGTCATATTATGTCTTCAATGCAAGGATAGGGATTAGCTATGGCACAAAAATGTCTAGTTTCTAATATTCAGTAATTTTTCAAAAGGTGGAAATTTATTAGCGTCTTTTTTTTGGCTTTATCTGTGTTCTTTTATCTAAAACAATCCATCTGTTATCAGATATCTGAATCAAAATGTCATCTTTTATATAACTGAGGATGTAGTAGTTATCAACTAATTTAATATATTTCTAACAAAAGATTTCCCTGAAACGTCATGGGACTGGTGATGCTATCCACGAGCATACATACACACACACACACACACACACACACACACACACACACACGCTCGTACTCTTTTTTCCATTCTAAGTTGTGACTGGAACTGAAACTGAACCTGGTATGGGTTAGAGGCCAAGAACTCCAGTTCAAAAATTGGTTTCTTTGGTTCAGATCTCATCTCTGCCACTTTATTAACCCATGCTGGGCAACACTACTCAGTCTCTCTCCATGTTGGTTTCCTCGTCAGTAAAATAATAACACTACCTGCCTCACATTAACTCATAATAAGCCCCAAATAAATGGTAACTATTATTATGTGCTGTACATCTTCTCATTACAAATACTGAATAGTAAAATTCAAACTTGGAAAACCAAAGAGCCCTTCCTTCTGGGATTTCAGTTCTCTTGGTGATTCAGAAGGTTCTGGTAAATATCTATACTGTGGTGGCTCAGCAAACTTATACTAAGCTTTCTCAAACCTTTTTGTTGAATGCTTAGAACAGCTGCATGTAAACATTTGCCTTAGGCAAACTGAAGATTTCAAAATTGAAAAGCAATAGAAAAATAACATTCAAAAAGTAAATTTTTTAAAATTTTTCAATTGAGTTTACATTTGGGCTGAGGAATGACATACTTCATTGTTTCAATGGGCTTTCCTTCTCAAGGAAACAGGAAATAGTAAAACAGTAATGTTTTAAGTTAAGCATGTTTTTCAGAATTACATTTCTTCTACACAACAAAACTACCATTCCAGTTCGTTGTGCGTCGTGTTTTCCTGGTTTATATTTAATTTTAATATTTGTCATACGTGTTTAGGATAAAAGGAAATAAAATGTCAACTACACAATAAACTCCATTAAAATGGCACTTTTAGCCGGGCTCGGTAGCTTAGCCTGTAATCCTGCGCCTTTGGGAGGCTGAGATGAATGGATTGCCTGAGCCCGCGGGTTTAAGACCTGCCTGGGCAGCGAGACCATATCTCTACAATAAATCAAAAAATCAACCAGGCATGGTAGCGCATGCCTGTAATTCCGGCTACTCGGAAGGCCGAGGTGGAAGGATCGCCGGAGCCCAGCAGGTCGAGGCTGCGGTGGCCAGGAGCGGCCACTGCACTCCAGTCTGGGTGACCGAGTGAGACTCCAACTCAAAAAAAAAAAAATGGCACTTTTATGGAGCAGGCAGTTTAATAAACTGCTCCCATTTCTTCATAGTGCTTTTAAGCACTTAAAAGGGGAACATGGCTCATTGAACCATTCCATACTTCTGATGATTCTCCAGTGGCACAGTGAATGAGGGTAGAATGAACAGTAGCAATCGGGGGTGCCTCGTGACAGTTCACAGGAGTGTGACACGGTGCTGTTTCTTGTCAGGCCCTCATGACATTCTTCAATAAAGTGATTGCCAATGAATCAAAAAACCGAATGAGTATGTGGAACATTTCTACTGTAATGGCACCAAACCTTTTCTTCAGTAGAAGCAAACATTCTGATTATGAAGAGTTGCTTTTAGCAAACACCGCAGCCCACATCATCCGCCTCATGCTTACTTACCAGAAAATTTTGTGGAAGGTGAGTGATGGTGTGATGATTTCAGGTTCTCTTTGGAAGTCCGCAGCCCCAGGAAACATTATGGCTCCATGATCAAGCAACTCCCTTGGTCATAGAGAGGAAATCTGGGAAGATAATCTCAGGTGGCTGTAGCATCCTTGTACATCATGTAAAGGGTGCTCTTTAACATGTTTTCCCTTTAAAACAGAATCTTGTTTTTTTCTAACCTTTACAAGGACAAATGCCACAGCTCCTGGTTCCAGATACTGAGTTGGCTGGGAAGAGTTACCATAACCAAAGACAGAATCTGTGGGGAGGTTTAGTTCAAGTGTTTTCTCTCCAGTCAACTATTTTTCTTCTCCAGGTTCCATCTTTCTTAATCACTCAAGTAAGAAGAATGAATGAAGCTACCATGCTGCTAAAGAAGCAGCTCCCAAGTGTAAGAAAGCTGCTCAGGAGGAAGACCATAGAACGAGAGGTAATGACATTGAAGGAGTGCACAAAGATTGCTCACTGCCTAGAGTTTTAGTTCTCTAAGGGAGGCACAAAGTAGCTTGTTATTTAGAACCAAAAATTTCGTACCCTTACAAAGTATCAGATAGTCTTGTGACTGTAAACATGGTAGAAAGTGGGTTCACAACAAAGTCCTGTGGCCTTTCCGTTTTGTTGAGCGTTGTGCTTTTTGATTAAGGTTCTTGAAATACCTCTGTCATGACGATGTCTTGATATTCTGTGAAGTACTTACCAGAAAGGTTATAGTGACTCTCACAAAAACTGAAAAATTGGTGTGTCAGTCCCTGTGAACTCAATTTAAGGACAACCCAGTATCCAGTATGTTCAATATAGTAAGTCCCCTACATACGAACCTTCAAGGTGCAGAGTTTCCAAGATGTGGACTCGCTTTCACTTGTCCAATCATGTAATTTAGTTCACGTGTCTGGCACACTTTTCAAGATACTATACTATAAGATTTTAATGTTTTCTTCATTTCTGGTGTTTTTTTAATGTATTATTTGTGTGAAAAGTCATATAAACTACTACAATTCAGTACGATATAGCCAATTGTGTTAGGTGGATGGATACCTAGGATAACTTTGTTGGACTTAGAAACACATTGGACTACAGACTTGCTTTTGGAATAGTACTCATTCATATATTTGAAAATATATGAAAATATTCATATATTTTCATATACGCAGAAAGAGATTTCTTTAGTGATTGGGTAATAAGGGAATAGCTGTTCCTCAAGTTGTTATGTATGGCTTCATTACATTCCAAAGATTTGGGGATTTTGTTTAAGCATAGTTATTTGTGTGGAGGCTCATAAGGGAAACAGGTTTTAGAAGAATTGTCCTTATAGCTTTTACTTGACTTGAAGATGACCGTGAGTGCCAGCCAGGCATTGCATTCAGCCTCGTGGAGGATGCACAGATACTTGAAAGTCACTTTGCCCTCCAAGAAACTGACACCTCATGTGGGAAACAAGTGTTCATGAGAGTCATAAGACCCCAGCAGAGAAGCGCAGTACTGCCTGTGGCAGGGCCTTGTAGAGGACAAGGAAATGTGCTCCAGCTTGAGAGACCAAGTGGTTTCACAGAGGGCGAAGCATTGGAGTATAGCGTGAAGGATGGGTAGCCCTGTGATGGGAGAAAGGAGGGGGAAAGAAAGCTCCTCCGGTGAAAGGGACAGTAATGCCAAAGCAGTGAGGTGGGAGTGTTGCTAACTGATTAATCACAGTCGTGATGAATGGCTGTATTCCTTTATTGATCACAGGCAAAGTGACTTTATAGCAAGTAGAACCAGTTCTTCTCCCCGGAAATAAAATTTGTTTTAATTGAGAAAAAAGTATATATAATATAAATTTTGCTATTTTGAGCATTTTAAAATGTGTGACTCGGTGTTTTTGGTACATTCACAATGTCCTGTGGTCATCACGGTAGGCAGTTTTCAGTAGTTCTTTGAACATATGTAAAATAGCAGATTTGAAGGTGTAAATCTAATATGTGGGCCTCATTAGGAGTTTCTTTTGAAACTGATTTGTCTTCCCTGTGTGTAGGTGATATTTCCTTGATGGTTTTGCCTGTCTCATAACTGTTGAAAACTGGGCGTTTCGCGTGTTATAAAGTAGCAACTTTGCAAATCACATTCTTCCCCCTCTCCAGTGTAGCTGCTGTTTGTTATAGCTTTTCTTTGTTTGTTTAGTGACTTTTCTACCCAACTAAGTGTGTAAAGGCTTGTGTTTTTTGTTTTGTGTGACTACGGAAGTCTCTCTTTCATTATCTTTTGGTTAGCTAATAATTGGACAGTGATTTTCTTAAATGCCTGGAACCCAAACCTTCCCCCAGTCTTTGCACATCTTCAGCTCTCAGGCGGGCATTTATAACTCTGCCGGAGTCTTCACTTCCTGCCTGCACAGAGCCTGAAGTCGAGCCAGAAATTAGAGCTTATGTTCCTCTCAGGCCTGTCCTGATCATCTGTGCAGGACTGGGGCACTCACTTGGCCTTCTAGATGTTCGAAAATATGTCAGAGCTTTTCAAAGCCTCTATTCCCCCAAAGTATCTCAGTCTCCAGCCTTGCCTTCCAAGCTTTTAGTTATCTGTTGTGTTTCTCCATTCTTACCCACTGCATCAGACAGATTTGACTAAATCACTTGCCAATGATTTTTTTTTTTTCAACATTACACACCTTTAGCACTGGCCAAGTTCAAGTCAAGCAAGTTAAAGGCAAGCCTTTTTAGCCAGTCTTCCAGGGAGCCACCAGACAGGTCAGAATAAATATCAAGAATTCTTTGTGAGTGAGGCCCATTCTGCTCCCTCTGGTACCTGTACCAGGAGAGCTGACTTATTGTCTACACCAAGTTGGGGAGTAGGTGAAAGTGTTACATTAAAATGACACAAAACTCACTGTTCTTAGCAAGACTCGGCTGTTCCTCTTACTCAAGCATTCCCCTGGTTGCAGCCTTTGGGTCAGTATCCAAGAGTTCTGAAAAACTCAGTCTGGCAGGTTTTGCCAATTTATCATTGCTTCTATGGAGGAGCAGACATTTAGAGTTTCTTGCTCTGCCATTTTCACTTTGGAAAATGTTAATGGAATAAGTATAATATGTGTGGAGATGGAGCTGAGATCAGGTTAGACTTTGCCAATTATTAGATGTATAAGCCTGGGCGAATTAAATTCTTTCTTTGAGCCCCAGTGTTATCTTATAAGTTGGGGGAAAAGTAATGATATGTATGTAACACAGAGTTGTCATTAGAATTTACTCACATAATGTATGTGTAAGGCACTTTATAAACTGCACATTGCCATGTGAATATCACTTATTTTAATGTTTTAGCTGTAAATAGGATATAATTCAAAGATTAGAAATACTATGGAAGCAAGCACTTAAAGAGGAAGAAATGGTGTTTCTAGTTCTAGTGTATTATATTGTGTTTTTAGTTCTTAATTCTGATTGGAATAGATAATTAATAAGTTACAAATTCAAAGGGTAGTAAAGGCTATAAAATAAAAATTAACCACCTCTGACTTCCCCTCCTCAAGACAAATAATGTCACCAATGACAGGGTGGGTGCACAGGAACAAGCCTATATAGAAACCTCCAGAGATACTCAGTGTGAATACAAATAAATATGAATCTATGTTCTCTTTTTTTTACATGAGTGGTGGTTGCACACAAGAAACACTGTCCTGTATCTTGCTTTACCAACTTAAGGGATCATGGAGTCTATTCCACATCAGTCCACAAAGCCTACTTCTTTGGTTCTTTTGCATGATTTTCCATAGACATAAAATAATTTATTTAAGCAATCTCATATTGTTGAACAGGTTAATTTTGGCCAGTCTTTTGCTGTTATCATTTGTGTTTTGGTGAATACACTTCTACATGTCACTTTTCACAAATGTAGTGTATTTGTGGGATAAATTTAGAGATGTGGAATTGTTGGTTCAGAGTACATGTACATTTTATAATTTGATAAATATTGCCAAAGTGTTTTCTGTAAAGATGGTATCAGCTTACCAAAAGCAGCATATGCATGTTTTTTCAACATTTACCCTAAAGACTAAATGTGCTTCCTTTAGACTGCAAGCCCCAAGACTTCCAAGGTACTTCAAAAGTCACCGTCTTCGAGAAGAATGGTAAGAAAACAGAATTTCCTTTCCCTCCTGGCTGTTAATGCTTTTCATTGTATTCTCCGGCTGCAGCTACCATATTCATGTATAATTTTAGTCATGATCTATCCTTCAAACTTGACACTTTCAGTGTGGCACACAAAGGAGGGGTATGGGCACTTGAGTAACTGATGATTTAAAATGTTTGCCTAGGCATCCTGTACATAGCTGTGAATGCTGTGGAAAGTTATGGGGGATATGATTATTATGATCATAGATCCAGTAATTTCAGAGCATGGAATTTATCTTAGAAGCTTCTGAGGATCCAGAAAGGGAGGGATATCAAAGTAGTTTTTTTGGAGTACTTTCTTGGCTGCAATGAGCCATGGATTCTGCCCCACACCCAAATCCAAATCCCCCATGTCCATTCTCTGGAATACATAACTTTCATGGTTCTTGTTGGTAATATTAGGAAAGTACTATAAGAACGGACTCTGTTTTGAAATATTTTTTATTAGATTCCCAGGGCTGTCATAACAAGGTACCACAAACTGGGTGGCTTAAAACAAAAGAAATCTATTCTGTCACAGTTCTAGAGGCTAAAAGTTTGAAATCAGTGTGTCAGCAGGGTTGGTTCCTTCTGAGGACTGTGAGAGAATAATCTGTTTCTTGCCTCTCTCCTAGCTTTTGGCAATGCTAGTAATCCTAGTCATTTCTCAGCATGTCTGTGCCTCGCCCCAGTCTCTGCGTCCATCTTCACATGGTGTTCTTTCCTATGTGTCTCCACCCAAGAGGCATGTGTTTCCATGTCTCTTCTCTTCTTACAAGGACACCAGTCACATTAGATTAAGGGCCTACCCTACCCTGGTTTGATCTCATCTTAGCTAATTATATCTGCAATGACTCTATTTCCAAATAAGGTCCTGTTCTGAGGTACTGGGTGTTAGGACTATAACATATGTTCTGGGGGATACAATTCAATCCCTAACATATTCAGTTTAGGGTATGTTTTGAGTCATCCACATAAACCTTTGACAACAACAGCTCCATCCTTTGAGAAGATACGTGTTTAAAATGATTACCTGAGGAGAAGCCACATTCTCAGACAAATAGAAGTTTATGTCTGTTCACCTCCTAGGTAGTGAATTAATTAAAAGATTCAACATTTTGAATCAGAAGAAATGTTTGTCAGTCCTGACAACACAGAAATTTCTGTTAATCAGATGGCATCATTCTTTGAATATTCCATTTCAATGAGAGCTCCAAGGTCTGCGGGCCAGTGATGTCTTGTGAAAACAGAGGTCCCATCTTTCCCTCTGGCTTCCACACTCTGCTCTGCACAGTGTCTTCAGCACTTTGAGGGCTCAGTTTCAAGTACCCATGGGGAATCCCATTTGGATTAGCCATCCATGGCTGCTAAGTGAAGAAGGATGGTATTTGAAAACTCATATTTTTCCATTGATCCATAAAAATTTTTATGCTAAAGTTCAGAATTCTGCTTAAAGTTGGCTTATGTAGAACTTTGCTCAATAAATGCACTGATAGAATTTTATTTTTGATAGCATTTTATTTTTGTCATAGCCCAGTTTTATCCCTCATGATTTCAAAGCATTGTAGCAAGGCCTGATCACATAGCAAAACTAAAATCCCAGGTTAAGTCTAGTCATCAGTGAATCTCCAGGTAGAAAAGAAAACAGTGTTTCATTCTGGTTGTAAATATTGGTCATGTTTAGATGTTTTCCTAATGAAGAGCCACTGATTTTCATACCTCTGAAGTGCACCATTGAGCTGATAGTCATCCTAGTTTGACAGAATGTCCTGAATTTCTCCTCATTGGCAGTCGGACGTGCCAGAAGGAGTCATACGTGTCCATGCTCCACTTCTCTCCAAGGTGTCCATGGCCATTCAACTCAACGGTCAGACCAAAGCCAAAGACATATTGGCGAAATTTCAGTATGAAAACAGGTAAGTCAACATCTGTGAAGGTCCCTGCACAAAGAGGGTGAACTTTTATCAGATGAGTGACTTTCCAGGCATTTACAAATTTGGTAAAAATTAGAGCCTGTTACTTTGGGGAGTTTACCAGTAGACTGCAAGAGTAAAAAGCAGAGAAAGTCTTCAGTAGAAATAGAATTGTCAACAACAGATGTTTTTCAAGGAAATTTCTACAAATGGGATTCCTAATATGTATTGTCTATCTCAGTAGCTTCATTTATTCAATGAGTTTTGTCTTTTATTAGAATAAAAATTATAACAAGTTAATTTTGCAGATATTTTGATATGATTTCCAGGAATATCATTATTTTAGGCTCTCTTGGGCTTGAACATGCCTATAAGAGATAGGAGTTGATGTAATTAAGTGGACACCATAGCTACCACTTCCCATAAAATATACTACTAATAATTCCTAGGATCAGAATGATACTTATAATAGTTCTCTTTGAATACCTGCTATAAGTCACCTTAAAAGATTTATGATTTAAAAATTATGAAATCATCATGATTTTTTTCTAGGCACCTTTACTTAAGGACAAACATTTGCCCTGAGGTTTTTAAAAGATAAGAAGCATTCATTTAAATTTATCCATTGGAGAGCAGCTGTATTTTGATAGTCACTAGTAAAACTGATGGAAGCCAGGCTCAGTGGCTAGTCTGTAATCCCGCACCTTTGGGAGGCTGAGGTGAGAGGATTGCCTGAGCCCGCGGGTTCGCGACCCACCTGGGCAACTTGGCGAGACTTCATCTCTACAATAAATAAAAAAATTAGCCGGGTGTGTAGCGCACGCCTGTAGTTCCAGCTACTCGGAAGGCTGAGGCAGAAGGATCGCTGGAGCCCAGCAGGTCGAAGCTGCGGTGGCCGGGAGCAGCCACTGCACTCCAGTCTGGGCGACAGAGTGAGACCAACTCAAAAAAACCGAAACAAAACAAACAAACAAAAAAACTCTGATGGATAGCTTTAAAAAGAAGCATTCCAATCTTGTTAAAAGTAGTAGCCTTGCCGGGCTCAGTGGCTCAGCCTGTAATCCCGTGCCTTTGGGAGACTGAGGTGAGTGGATTGCCTGAGCTCGCGGGTTCGAGACCCACTTGGGCAGTGAGACCTCATCTCTACAATAAATCAAAAAATCAGCCGGGCGTGGTAGCACACGCCTGTAGA